CCTTCCTCTACATCTGGGGACTACGTACGACCCGTGATAGTTTTGGCGAGGAAAATTATTATCTCGGGAGCCAAGAAGGATTTTTAAGGTAGTGTCTCTTGTCCACGTGCAGTCTTGCTAATCCAAATTCAACTTTTACATGCGCCTGGGTCTCACGGCGCTGTGAAAGTTTTGGTGGGAAAAATTATTGAGAATCGGAAGAGCTATGAGACTGGAAATTTCAGGAATATATTTTTTGCCTTTGCAGGGCCTCACAATTTGAAATTTAGCTCCCAAGTATGCCGAGGTTTCATGTACGACCACATGAAAGTTTTGGCACAAAAGTCACTCGGGAACCAGAAAATTAGGCGATTGAAATTTTGAAAGTTTTGAAATCCTTCAAATTAAGCTTCCAGGGACGTTTCATATATCGGTACATGAATTTTCTAGTGGGAAATTTCGTACGTTTGCAATCAGACAACATATCAATTGTTTCTGCACCGGGCAAAATGTAAAGTAGTGAAAATCCTTAGCAGGCAAGTGTTCATTAAAGGGAGCTGCGCACAACGCATGATCGCAACGGCTACTCCGGTTCTCGCTGCTACTTTTTTTTGTTGTTGTATTCCAGTGAGTTTGCTGCTAAAGAAACATGGCATTTGGAGCAAGTGAAGGTTTTTTGTAATGATTATATCCGTATCGGTGCGTCAAAATCCCATTCAAGGTTGGCATCCCTATATGCTGCGACTGGCTGCCAGCAGTGTCATCAAGACAGTGCCAGATTAATTCATGTGTATGTGTGTGTGTTTTCTGGAAATTCCTTCATTTTCTCTTTTAATATTCAACTTCAATTTGATGAACCGATTCCATTTTGAATTATTTATGAAATTGGAAAAACGAGAGCTGGTATCTTGTGCAAGAAGCAGGTCAACCCTAGTGTCTCTTCCAACCACCTTTTCTCAGTTTGCCTTCGGTTGTAGTTAAAAAAACACGTCCTGACTAGATTTAAACATAATTCCGCGCGAATTTAGACTCTTTCACGTTAAAATTTCACTTATGACGGCCCCTAGCTTTTTAAGCGTCTTGTGCTGTGTAACAGCTGCACAAAACGCATATTGTCACAGGATTTTCTGTGTATGT